CGTTAGCCGTGCGGGAGGGGGCTGGGAGCAGGGAAAGCACGCACTGTCTCCTGGAGGGGAGGGGAGGGGAGGGGAGGCCTTCGCCGCTGCTGGGGCCCGGGTGGTGCTGCCGGCGTGCCCCTTAGTAACGTGCCCATTAGTAACGTTCTGCCCGTGCAGGAGAGCTGCGTTTTGCCACAGTTGTATTGAAATGGTGGAAAAAAATAACCCTGCAGCCCCGTGGTAGTGGCCAGACCCTGGTGGGGAGGAGGGCGGCTCCTGTGGGGGGCGTTTGTGGCTGGGGGGGGGCCCGAGTACCGAGTACTGAGAGACTTTGTGGCAGGCGTCTTGCCACATGCTGATTTCTGCAGTGCTGCGTATGGTGCACTTTGTAGCAAAGCAATGCAATGGCTTCTGTACTGCTAGTGAAGATAGCTGTGGTGAATCAAGCTGATTGGATTTTAAGTTGATAAATCTCAGGCACAAACATCAGTGCAGACCAAGAGAGGCTTCTCCTTCACTTGCCCCTCTGTAGCGTTGGCATGAAGATGATGCCTGACGTGACGTCTAAATGCAATGAGAGGGCAGTGGAGCAAGCTCCTGAGGAGCCCGCATTTGTCCAGCCTTGTGGACTGTGCACAGATGGCTGTGGCAATCATCCCTCGAGCACAGCCAGTTAGTTGACTGAAGTCATTCTACAGCCAAAATCCAGTCGGGAGACTATTAGCTTCTGGCCTACAAAATATTTGCATTGAGACTTCAATTGCTGTTTAATTTTCCTGCAGCTGGCAGCTCCTATTGTTGATGAAGGCTCTGTGAAATCATTAAGGAAAAGATGATGAATGTGTTTATATTTACTAAAACAGATCAATAGAGAGGGTGTGTAGAGTCATAAACACTCTTACCTGAATTCTGTGCCTTTGGTTCATCTTGAATTCCAAAGTGATTGAGCAAAGTTGGGCAAGCCTCCTTGCATCCTGTGTAAATCTTGACCCCCTCAGAACCACAGGCAGAATACAGGAATCCTAAAGGCCAAAATTATTTTGCTAATACTTGAATTGCCCATTGGGAAAGCGTATCAGATTCTCCTTCTGAAATGGACTTTAAAACAGGATAGCTGCTTTTAATGTGTCTCAGATAATAAGAATCTGAGCTAAAGATCCAAAATTTGAAGGAATTCAGTCCGTGCAGAAACAGGTGCCATCAGCATTGATTTCCTAAGCTGCTGTTCAGTGAGTGGTTCTTTGCAGCCATCCTACCTGAACAGGTAGTATGAATCTAGCTTCTTCCATTTCTTTGTCTCTTCCACAGATGTGGTATAAAATAAAATATCATAGGCAATAGAATCACTCTTGAGAGGCCCTTATTGCAATGGAAGACAACAGAGTTTGCTATGATAAATACAACCATCTTGATAAGTGACTTATAGTACGGTGAACTTGTCCAGCTTGTACGTTTATGGTGCTTGAGGCAAATCTTACTGCTCTTCTTTAACCTGTGGCTGGGTTTCTTGAACAGAGCTGGGTTTAGACATCCTGATCTATATAGTATGCAACTCCCTCAGTACAGCATAAGGTATTCTTTTTTAAATAAAGCCTATCTGTCTTACTTCCCCATAGAGAGCAGCTGCATGGTTCATCAAATCGTTCCACCTTTTCCGAAGCATGAGTTGGATCTCAGGATGTGTTTGAATATGAGCCATGAAGTCAAGAATTTAGAAAAAACATGAAATTTTATTAAGGTGCAGGCAGATGGCCAGCCCTGGCCTAAGGTTAAACTGAGGGGGTAACAGCCTGAGCAACTGCCACACAGAGCAGACAACACGCAAAAGTAGCTGGCCAACCCTGACCTGGGGCTAACCTAACAAAGGGAGAGGTAACCAGACAAAAGGGGTGAGAGGGGAGCGTCAGACCTCCCTTGGATGGAGAGTGCCTGAGGGTAGGTAGTGAGGGCGGGTACTGGCTTACTGGGATTGCTGACCAAGGCTACAATTACTGAATAAGACTGTAAAATCAGCAAAATTTGGGCCTATGGGGAAAGAGAAAAACTGGGGTGGGTTGTTTAAATAGGAGGGGGAAAATGAGGGTAAAAGGAAATGTAAGGCAAAGCAAACCACGTCATCGAGGATGCGCCTCATCAACGCAGCCAGGAGCAGGACAATAAAACTGTTCTGACGATACCAGTGGGTCTGCCTTGCTTCTGCGGTCAGGGAGATGGGGGTGCTCTCCTGAATGCCAGTGGTTCCACACCTTGGTTAGGGTGGAAGACAGACTGACCCATCTCCCTAACAATATTTGCAGTAAGTGTGGCTCAAATTATCATCTCAGCTCATCTGAATCTCAGAGAGAACCTTCTGAGGAATCTCGTATGTATCCATATCAGCCTGCAGAGTCTCTAGCAAGAAATGACTTGAAGAACATCAAGAAGTGCACTCTCCTCCCACCTCTCAGGGTAAACTGCCTATAGGCCTTTTTTCCAAGAGCTACTACTGGAAGTACCTTTTTTAATTGAGGCAGTAAATCTCGCCACAGCCCCAACCAATCTCGGGAGCTCATTTCAGCAAGCTGAGATACCATTTGCATGTGTCCAATCCCTTTGTTTTTACGCTAACTTCTTTTTGAAGAGCAGTGTATGAAATGTGTTTTCTGGAGAGAGATGTTCTCTGACCAGATGGTCTGCTGTTCTGCGTAGCTCCTGTTTTCCCTAGGCTGTAGCAGAGAGTTCTCCATTTTATAAGCTGGCCACTTAACTCTGCTGGGAGAGGTCAATAGCTTTCTCCTCCCTGTCTTCCCAACTTCTTTTTTTTTTTTTTTCCTTTGAACACTTTCCAATCTTTTTGTCTTCTTACCTATCTCTGATAATTCTGTTTCTGTCAGGGTCCCCTCTGTACCACACATCATCTTTGACTTGTTTGCTGCTTGGCTTCAGTCTCTAGATTCTATCAATTTAGATGGGAACCTGATCATAAATGAGGGTATTTTGTGTCCCATGCAAGGCCAAGCACAGTGCATGCTGATAATACGCGTAACTGTGAGAACCTTGTGCCTCATTTTCACAGCCATCACAACTCCCAGAAAGCGGGAAATCAGCTGTGCACAGTGAAAGGACAATGCAGAGTTTGCTCTGGCAAGACAAAGTGTTCAGACCACGTAGCAGATAGGCCCAAGGTCTGTGCGTGGCATGGTATCACCTGTCCTCCAGGGAAGGACACTAAGCACAACATTGAGAGAGATTTGAAGCTGATTTTGCAGGCTGGACTGACAAAACAGAGCACTGCTAGCAACAGAGAGGAAAGGAAGACGTGAGAAAAGGAGAAGAGGAAGAGAAGAGAAAGCCTTTTCCTCTGCTCATATTCGCACTGTGGAAGCTGCAGTATGTGGTGCCTCCTTAAGCCCGTAAATGTACTCTGAACTGGTCATCACTGGAGCGCACCTGGTAGTGCTGCAGAGAGTGGAGGGGAACCATGATGATAACAGTGGAATGACCTTATTCCTTTCCCCTATCTCTCTCTTTAAAGACTCAATAACAATCTATGGGCCATGCTAAACAGCTGAGAAGGGTCCAGTCAGCTGGGTGCACCTCTGTCTCTGCTCATCTGTGCATGATCTATGTTGTAAACAATTTCCTGCACTCACAGAATTGTGTCTCCTTGGCATACCTAGGCATTCAGTCCAACTAGGAGCTGCCCCTTGCCAGAAAGAACTACAGCATTCCCATGCAGCAGGGATACATGTCACAGGACCTGTCACTGCACCTCAGTGCTACAAGAAGCCGCACCAAATCCAAACCCTAAATGGGGAAACTACTTGAAAGATGGAAGAAAACTTTTACATCAGGAATGACTCAGGGCTTTGGTATATTACATTCTCAAATATTTATTTCTGTGTTCTTATAAATGTTGTATTTGAAGAAAAATATTGTAATTGGCCAATATTCCACAGGATCTAAATATTTTGCTTTATGACAGAACTTCCTTCCCCTACTTAGATATTTACTGCTTTGCTGACTGCACAATTCATGCTCTGGACATGACGAGGCCTTCCCCCTACTCTGCAGTCTGTTTATATGTTACTGAGGCCTTAATCCAAGCACTGTAATAGCAAAGGGGAGAAAAGAGAATTTATCCTTGGTTAATCCTCAGAAATAGCTCTCGATCCAACAGTCTTTTCCACTGAGAAAGTGGAAGATGAGAAGATTGTGTGTGAGAACAGGATGGGACAACTAAGGAGCAAGAGACAAGCTTCTCTGTTCCAGCTGCACTGGCTATGCAGAGAGGGGACCCTTGCCAGGAGCAAGGTCACCTTGTAAGATGTGCTATTTGTTCTCAGGGTTCAAGCAACACCAGGAGACTGAGGAGTGGTGGGGAGCAGGCAGTCTAAAGGCTATGGCATGCCCCTATGAACTCTTTCTTGAGGTTCTCCAAAGCCAAGCATAGTTTGCAGAAGGACTTACCTTCCCTCTGGTTTGGCAAAGGTGTCACTGGTTTTCTAGCAGTGTAAGGGCTTCTGGCATGCTATAGACTTCTAGTGTGGAGCAATGTCTTACCCTGCACCCAGGGCTCTGCTCTGTGCCTATTTCATGGTCCAGAGATCTGCCAGGCAGAGAGGGGTGCAAGCCTGTATTGAGGACAGTCAGGGTCCTGCCTTTGCAGGACTCGCATCTGAGCAAGGAAGGAGCTGTTTCTGTTCTCATTTTTTCCATGCCTTTGGCAGAGCTGATGTCAGGCTATCAGGCAGTGGTTGTTGGAATGGGCAGGCACCAGCTCCCAGGCATGCAGACAAGTGAAGGATGGCTATTCCTGTGCTTCCAAGAGTGTTAATAGCTGATAGACAGGAGCTAGGTACCTTTTTGAACAAACGCATCCCTAAAATAAGAAGAATAAAGATGCAGGCGCTAGAGGCCGAGTAAGTAATTCAGGAACAGAATCAATGGGGTACAGTGCATTGGTGAGACCTCTGTGCAGCATGGAGAAGCATACTCAGTTCAAAGTTCACCATCCTAGTCTGCTACTGAGGTGTAGCTAATGAGTTGAGAGTCAGCTAGAGGTTCATGCTGCCACTGAGAGGGTATGGCCTCCACTGGGTCACCAGGCTATGTCTCTAATCATATGTAGTGGTCAGTGGGACTAGATGCCTACTTTTTTACTTCCAGCAGGACCAAAGGTACAGGGCAATATTTGTTCTGTGGTGCTGCTGCCTCCTAAGAGACCAGTCTGGAAGTATCCAATGTATTTATTTGGAGTTGGTAGAGAAATTCACAGCATGAGCATCTTAAAGAAGAATTTTGAGGTGTTTTCTTCAACATCAGCTGGAAATTTTGCACCACTGTATAGTCTCAATGAACTCCCTAATCTTCATCATTCTGTTAGGCTCAGTTTACCCTCTGGCCCTTGAGACCAGGAAACATTTTAAGGATACTGGAAGAAAAGAAACAGTCCTGTAACAACAGCCTGCTAATTTGCAAGATGGCAAAGGAATGCACATGTGTAAGAGTGAAAGGTAAATGAAGAATGCCCGATGCTGAGAGTGGATTAGGAACAGCTTCATCTTGTGACAGCTGGTTTTTGAGTCCTGCGTCACACCTGCTGGAGCAAGGAGTGGGAACAGGAATGGAGCACTCTTTGGGAGTGGTCAAAATGGCTGGTGGAGCAGCTTCCCTGAGAGACCACACAGTACAAGGGGCACCCTCATACCTGAAATGTGGGCATAACTTGTGAGAAACATCTGTGTTTTTGGGAAAGGCTGTTCTGAGATTACTGCATGTGCCTTCGTATCTATGAGCAGAGAGAAGGAATTGTATTATGGCAGGTGATAGCTGTAGATCACATATTTCTAGCTGGGTTTTACAGTGCGTTTGCTATAAAACATGGCTGATGTTCAGGGGCTGTCTGTGGAGGTGTCAAGAACAGCAAAACTCCTAAAAGGAGAGCAAAGCTCCAACATTCAAAACCATGAACACTGTAAAGTCCCAATGGCTTTTTCAGGTAGAACTGAAATGGCTAGGAATATGGCCAGGAAAAATGGCTGAATATGGCTAGGAAAAGTCCATCAGCTTTGGAGCGTGGAATGAGTTATCTGGAGCTGGAGAAGAACTGGTGTTTCTGCAGTGAAATTCATAGCTCCTTTGCCCAGTGGCCTGGAAACCCTTCTCTCCTTGTGCTTTGGATGGAGGAAAAATAAATAAAACAACTTCAAAGTCACGCCGATATCTTTAAAGGAGGTTTACTGTCGTTTTTTTGTAGGTTACAGTGTTCTCTCTCACTAATGGTCTCAGTCCTGTTGTTTTGGAGAGTGAGAGGGGCAGAGGAGGGAAGCAGGAAAGACTGCAGGGCACCATGGCAAGAGGGAGGAAGCTGTTCTTCTGTCCCCATGGTACAGTAAAAAAGAGTGAAGAACTGCTAACCTTATGGGCACAGACTTTATGCTGAGTGTTGGGAGAGTGAAGAGCCTCTGAGGCACAGAAAAGGTTAGACCAAGAGCGGGAAGGCATGACTGAACATCTCCGGGTGCCTAGAAGCAATCCCTTCCACACTTGACTGGCAGTGGGCTCTAGCTGGATGGCATCCAAGCCTTGCATGATGCTGCCAGACTCAGAGTCTGCTGGATGCACTCTGCATTCAGCGTCCAGGACACTGGCACAGCCAGAGGGACACAGCTGGTTGTGGTGCAATGGGGGCACTGGTAGCAAAGATACAGTCACATTTGGCACAGTAGCAGTGAAGGATTTGGGTGATCATGTTGTATTTGCGTTGTCTGCAGCCCAGTCAGCTAGAGCAAGAGCTGAGCAATCACTAAAGCTCAAGATGCCCTATTGGATCAAGGTGCCATAACTGAGTCACAAGGAGCACAATGCAGCCTTGTGACCTCCACATGAGCTGAAACAACAGATGACCCTGAGTTAGCAGATGAAATTGGGACTTAAAAGAATGACGTCCAGAGAAGGGAAAGATAGAAAAGTAATCACAGGGACCCAGGGAGCCAGCAGAGCAGCATAGGGTGCTGGCAGGAGTGGTGCATGCAGCATTTGTGGTGGGATACAGATCTGTTCATATCAGCTTTGCTGTGGATAAATTCATCTCCCATCTCCACCATGAATTTGAGACCACATATTAAATGCCAAAGGATGTTCTACCAACCTTTTTGTATATGGACAGGACATTTTAATACAATATAACTCAGCCTGACTGCAGCAGACTAGACATACCAGCAAGGATTAAGAGTCCAGTGCAAGACTTGGCAGAGTTACAACTGGGCAGGGAGGACTCCTGACCAGGCAGCTGTTGGATCTTTCTTATATAAGCTGTCTAGACCAGAAAAGAAGTTTCAAAGCCAACATTGGCATAAGACTATGGTTCCCTGCACAGATGGTCTACAACCCACAACTTTCATATTTTGTGTAGAGTAAGAAGGGAATAGAAGAAGCACGTCAAGTCAGCTATGTATAAGAGAAAAGTCTATGAAATAGCTATAAAAATAATGGAAAAGAACAGTAACAAGAGAGATTTATTACAAGTAGGAAAACATTTGATGTTTTGCACACAGAAGATAGCACATTGCCAAAAAACATTATCTACCCGCAGTTCCTACACCACAAAATTCAGATAACACCAAGGGATACATCTCATGTTGTGGAAGAGAATGGAAGAGTGGGTCCTGGTGAAGAAATGGCCAGGAAGAATATGCATAAGCTCAGAAATATTTCGCCAGGTTCTCCTAATTACTTGTGACTGTCCCAGTGGAGAATGAAGTGCATGTAAATAAAAAGTATGATCAAAAAAGACTATGCTCTTGAAAAATTTTACAGGATGAAAGAGATGGAAGAGCCTGTGGCTAGTACAAGTACTGCCATGGGGAAATTAATCTGAAAACAATCATAGCTGTCACCAGAAAGCAGTACAGCAAGGTTCATTGTACCGATCCATAAGGACATGGTAATACTTGCCAGAATACGGATCAGCCACTGACAATTAGCAAATTGAGGGAAGCCAGAAGGTGTGACACAGAGCCAAACTCTGTGCCATATACGGTCATCTGGAGGGCACATGGCATCTGAAAACCCTTTATCAGTGTCTACCTTGACTTCAGCAAGGGTCTTGACGCTGTCTCCCATCACATCCTCATAGGGAAACTCAGGAAGTGTGGGTTAGGTGAGTGGCCAGTGAGGTGTCCAGTCTTGTTCAACTTCATCAGTGACCTGGATGAAGGGACAGAGTGCACCTTCAGCAAGTTTGCTGATGATACTAAACTGGGGGGAGTGGCTGACACACCAGAAGGCTGTGCTGCCATTCAGAGGGACCTGGCCAGGCTGGAGAGGTGGGCGGAGAGGAACCTCCTGAAGTTCAACAAAGGCAAGTGCTGCAGGGTCGTGCACCTGGGGAGGACTAACCCCCTGCACCAGGACAGGCTGGGGGCTGACCTGCTGGAAAGCAGCTGTGCCGAGAAGGACCTGGGAGTGCTGGTGGACAACAAGTTGAGCATGAGGCAGCAGTGTGCCCTTGTGGCCAAGAAGGCCAATGGTCTCCTGGGGTGCATTAGGCAGAGTGTTGCCAGCAGGTGGAGGGAAAAAAAAATGGCACTACTGGAGAGAGTCCAGCGGAGGCCTGGGAAGATGATGAGGGGACTGGAGCATGTCTCCTGTGAAGAAAGGCTGCGAGAGCTGGGCCTGTTGAGCCTGGAGGAGAGAAGACTGAGCGGGGATCTCATCAATGCCTACAAGTATCTGAAGAGGGGGGTGTCAAGAGGATGAGGCCAGACTCTTCTCCGCGGTGCCCAGCGATAGGACGAGAGGCAACGGGCGCAAACTGAACCACAGGCAGTTCCATCTGAACAGGAGGGAAAAGTTCTTCCCTGTGAGGGTGACGGAGCACTGGGAGCAGGTTGCCCGTAGAGGTAGTGGAGTCTCCTTCCCTGGAGATATTCAAAACCCACCTGGATGCCATCCTGTGCTCTAGAGGACCCTGCTTGAGCAGGGGGGTTGGACTAGCTGATCTCCAGAGGTCCCTTCCAACTTCAGCCATTCTGTGATTCTGTGGTTCTGTGATCAGCACATGATTTGGCTCATTAGTGAATACCAGGAGTGGACTGCTACAGGTTTCCTATAACATAACGGGCTTTCAGATTTCTTGGGACAAATTGGTATTAGTGCCTATGATGCTGTTTCCATGCTGCTGGAGGCCCATGAGAGCACAGTGAGACATTGAGCAGGGAAACACAAGGGGACAGTTGCGTGGGCTTCCTGCTTATTCACGTGTGCATGTGCCCATGGCCTCCCTTTAACTACTAATAGAAGCAGTTTTGTCACCTCCTCCCAAATCTCAGAGGAGAAGCCATGTGGTGGAGTGATCTGTTGAGGATGGCTTTTTTTGCCATACAAACGTGTTTCCATATAGGTGTTTGCTCAAGAAGCAACATGCCTAGCTTCCTGGGACAGGAAGGCAGCATTTCCAGGGGAGCCCTTTCCTCCACTGTGCTCTGCAGCACAGGAGACCTCTGTATCCAGCGGGCCTGGGCTTGCCATTTACTGTGGAAGGTCCTCTTGTGCCTCTGGTATGTGGACATCTCCACAGAGTTGCTTGCAGTTCAGGCTTCAGGCTGCTCCAGGTGAGCCTCTGGACCCATGCAGAGGAGGACTGAGATTGGTGAGGGCTTGGAGCAGAAGCATGTGCTGTGCTGCTTGAGGCCGCCTTGCCAAGAGGGGCCTGCAGCTCTCTGCACTGACTGGAGTCCTTCAGACCTGGGAAATTCATACCCAAAATCTATCATCCTGCTGCAAACCAGCTCAGAGGCCAGAGCAGGGTAGGGGCAGGCAGGTGCTGCAACGAGAAGAGAGCAGTTCCTGGAGAAGTTGCATGTGAGGGATCGAGGAGCTGCATTTCTTTTACTCTGGGAGGGAAAGGACAGGCCATTCCCTCTCTGGGAGAGTGGACAGGACAACCTGGGAGCTGTTATCATCCCCAGCCTAGTCCCCTCTGCCCAGGAAAGGGAGATGCAGGAGGGCTATAGCAGGGCTCTGAGGTGTTTGTTGCTGAGGTGTGGTTTGCTTCCAGGTGCAGTGATCCAGGTCCAGTTATGGCTGCCCTCCCCCCGAGTAGAGGAGAGATGTCAATAAACTGAAGCAGGTCCAGTGGAAGTGATGAAGCTGGTTGGGTCTGAAGCACAGGTCATACAACAAGAGGGTGATGGCAAAGGAGGATCTACTGCAGTCATCCAGCACCTAAAGGGAGGTATAAAGAAGATGGAGTTCAGAGGTACTCTGTGAAAGGATGAGAGACAACAGATGTGAGTCGCAAATTGGGAAATTACAGTTGGATGTAAGGAAAAAATTCTGCTTCCTGAGAGGTGCAGCCCTGAGACAGAGACCAGAAAGGTAAGGGATCTCTGTCCTTGGACACTTTCAGAATTCAACTGGACAAGGCCCTGACCAGCCTGCTTTAGTTTGGAGATAACCCTGCTCAGAGCAAGGGAATGGACTAGAGTCTTCCAGATGTCCTGCTCACCTCTGGCTTTCAGTGAGCCTATGATCCCAGCTTACATGGGAACTTTCCCTTCTCATGTAGCAGGGCATGGACAGGGAGGAGAGGCATCCTTCTCTAGGCCCCAGTGCTGATGGAGGTAGTCTTCCCCCTGCTTACTGTGGGTCTGCCCCAATAAAAAACCTCATATCTGGACAGTGTAGGCGGGATGCTTGTGCCCATCCTGGCACCATTGGTTGAGACAGGTTCAGGAAGGAAACATCCTTGTGATCCTGCCAGTCCTGAAAACCCACCTCTCTGCAGGGCTGCCTGCAGCTAGCCTGCCTGTGAGAGAAGGTGCTCTCTGGCAGCAGGGCTCAGCCATGATGCTCAGTGGCCAAGAGACTGACAGGGGTAGCAGTCGTGGGCTTGGAGCTGCAGCTTTCTCCACACAAAGGTCTGTCCTTTCCCTCCTAGAGCCTGTCACCCTGGTACAGGCTATTTGTTCACCTTGGTACAAGGCTGCAGTGAGGACTTGGGGAGTCCAGGGTGGTTTGGTCTCCTCTGATCAGGGCTCTTTAGCTTTGCTTGTGGCATAGTGTGATATCTCTGGATTTCTCTTCCAGTCCTGGTGACCCTGAGGACCTTCCCCAAACCCATGCCTGTAAGAAAAATAGTTCTGTTCTCTACACACAGCCTGTGAATGAAGCCAAATTTTTAAGATCAGTCTGAAAAAAATTGATTCCTTGGCTCCCCCTCAGCATCCCGACAGCCAGAAATTCTATTTCAAAGGCAGGGCCCTCAGAGACAGGCAGCACAGGTGGCTGTTTTGAACAGAAGGGTCTTCTGGAAAGTCTCCAGAAAGGCCTGACATGTTTGTGATGATCTGGAGCCTGCTTTTTAGAGGTAAGCAATTAGGAGTGGTATCTTCCTTGAACCCCTTGTCCTTTTTCCAAACCCTTCCTTTCTTGGACATGGCAGATCTCAGCATTGTGATTTATGGGCTTAGAGATGTCCCAAAAAGGGAAAAAATAGCTATGTTCACTCTTAGTGTGACAAAGAAATTGGAGAGACGGAGGTTGGGGGTGGATGGGTCACCTCTTAGGAATGTCCCGCCTGTGCTGTGGAAATAGAAAGCAGCCTCCCTTTCACATACGGCCTTGTGCAAGCTCCCAGAGCTGAGGCTGAGCTAGGACCAAAGCAGGTGTTTGACCTCCTGTCTGGCCTGAAAGAGATGTTTTCCTTCCATTTTGGACCTCTCTCCAAAGAGATCCAGTTTCAAGATGGCCAGAAGCTAGGACACAGCCCAGCATGGGACTGCTCTTTTTCTGGCTCTGCTTGCAAGCCCCACACAGCCAGCTATCACTATTAAAACAAGTAGGACTAAAAGTATTTCCTAGCTGCCTTTTGTTTTTCAGCAGAGTGCTGAGCAGCACCTCTGCTCAGGTCTCCATCCTTCCAGGCTGCCTGCAGGCTCACTCTTGCACCTGGATGATATGCGAAGATTGTCCCATTCTTGTAAGTACAACACTGCAGAAATGATGCGATTGCAAACCTGGCAGAGCTGTGGTCTCCTTGGGCCCTGGGTCCCACAGCAGCTCTGGGTGCAAAACATGCAAGGATGAGACCCTGTGGGTTAGTGCTCCGCATGCTTTGCGGGTGTGGTGACAGAGGGAGGAGGGGAGGCAGAGAAGTGGCATTTGGAGGTCATGTGGGTGCCTGGCCAGGCTGTGGCAGGAAGCGGTGCAACCCAGGAACTCTGGCTATGTGGAGACACAGCTCCATGGAAAGTTCAAGAGCCAGCACCACAGGGAGTGAGGCTGCAGGGTATCTTTAATGTTATTGCAGCAGTTGCAGCCATACAGCTGGGACAGGGACCATGTGCTTGGCTAGTCACATGTGTCACCCTAGGCCTGGGAACACCAACGCACAGCAGGGAGAGGAGGTGCCAGCTCTTGGTCCCAGTTTTGGCAGCCCATTAGGCTGTTGAGATGATCAAACCAAAGCCTAGATCTTTCTCAAGCACTCAGGTCTGCCCAGGGAATAGGCTGTAACTCCAGGGACTGTCCTGAGCAAATGTCAGTTCTGTTCCAGCATCTACCTCAAATTCCTCTGTGTTCCCAGTGGACACGGTGTTCTTGCTGGCCTCATGCCTGGAGCCTTGTCCTGCACTGCTGGGTGCCGTGCAGCACTGCAGTCCAACATCAGGCTATTTAATTCTAGCAGCACTGGGGACTCCTGGTGTTTCTCTGTCCTATCCTTCCGGGGGGAGGATGCAAAGTGGATTCATGGCTGTGAGTTCCCCTGGTAGGACCACTGCGCAACACTGTGGGAGCTGCCACAGGAAAAGCTCAGAGCTTGCTGTGGTGGGCATGGTGCTGCAGGGTAGACCTTGGTGTAGGGGTCTGCTGGGCACTTTGCTGGCTCCTTTGGCAGGGCAGGAAATGGGACGGGCTCTGTTTGCTTCACAGGATCCCTGAGGAACTCACAGTGCAGGACAAGGGCCAGAGGTGAGCAGAGAGAAATATCCAGCCGATGGAATCCCTCATCTGCCAGCTTAACTCCCGCTAGCTAAGGCAGTGGAGGGTTAAAAGCTCTGCATCTGCACCCAGGTGTAGCAATCCACATAGCAGGACGTGAGCAAGGCCAGGACGCAGGCAAGCAGAGACAGCATGCTGGCTGATGCAGTCGTTGCACGTGCATTGCAGGAGCCAGCTCTGCTGGCTCTGGGGAGTGCAGTTGTCCACATCATGCTGGATGAGCCCCCAAATGACTCGGTGGTTGCTTAACATACGCAGTGTGGGGCAGCAGAGAGGCACCTGGCATAGCAAGACATGAGACACGCATCAGTAGCAACTTGGTCAGCAAAACAACTCCTCCATGCAGAGCCTGGCCTGTGTGTTAGTCAGTATGCCCTGTTCCACAGTATGCTTCAGCCACCCACAGCATGCATCCCGCCATAGGCTGGATGCCTACCACGCCTCCACACCTGCTCCAGCATGAGCAGACAGACCAGTGCTTGGAGACAGGCAGACAGATGATGCCGGCCGGTTCTCTTTTTTGCACGCCAGATGATGGAGAGACACAATGGACTTTCGTTTCGGTCCTGGAGATGCACACCTGAGGCAAATCACCTTTGGCTCAAAGGAAGGTGGTGCATGTTCCTAGCATACTGACTCCCATATTAGCCCACCCAGCTGGGCATGACTACTGGAGTATTCAGTGCCTGTAACAGCATCACCCCTCCTCAGGCAGCATAATGCCCCAGAAAGGAGATTTTCCTTGTTATATGGCTCCTTCACATCTCAAGTGATGCAGCATCCCCATTGCAGGTAGGAGGCTGCACTGTGCCCATGCTAAGAGCAGGAATTAATCACACTTAATTCTGCCCTGGTTTTGCATAGGACCTGAGTCAGGCCTAAGAAATGGGTACATATGTACCCAACGAGGCACAAGTGTCACATCCTAAGCAAACAGTACCAATTTACCTGTTCTATCCAGACAGACAGTCTCCACAGCTAATTCCGCTGCGGCAGAGCTGTGTGGCAGTGCATCCCGTCTGCATCTGGGCTGGGCCCAGAGACGGCCAAAGAGGAGCTCACACTGAAGAAGTGACAGAGCTGGAGCACTGCTGTGCATGCTACTGCACAGCATGATAAAACTCAGCAGGATTTCCAGGCAGGAAGGCGTTAATTGCCTCTATAGATCTCCCAGGCTTCACTGGGGGGTTCACTCTTCGCAGGGCACTTGTGTCTCATCTGAAGTGAGAGGGAGACCCAGGTACAGGTGTATACCCAGCGTGCCATGCTTTGATCCCTCTCCCAGCTCTGGCTGCACTGCTCCCCTCACTTGTTCATTGACACCCTCCCCATGCGACACCCTGGAAAGGGGAACCATTGTGGTTGCCTACTCTGCCCTGGCCAAGCTGCATCTTCACCCTCCCAGTAGGAGAGAGCTCTGGGGGACCCCAGCACCTGCAACCAGCCCTAGGTCCTGCTGCTGTGCCAGTAGGCAGTGATCCTGGCCTGTGGAGCCTGGAGAGGGCCTGTCTCAGTGTTCCCTTCCACTCCCTGTTCTTCCATTTTAAACCCTTTGATCTTCCTGTCCCTGTTTCATTTTTTGCCATGCAATAGCCTGGGTTTCTCCCATTTCTGTTCCTTTACCCTTCTCTTTCCCTGAGGTGGGTGCATGGGGATATTTTAATTCCCTTAGGGGATGGCTGTTGTTTGTCTCTTGCAGAGAGCTCAAGAAGTGTCAAACAGCACTTGGGAGAGGAAGAAGATAAGGAAAGTGAAGAGCAACCGTTTTCCAGCATGCACTCCTCGCTCCAGCAACCAGACACTCCCTTAGCCTGGCGGATAGGGATGGTGCAGCAGCCTGGACACACATGGCAGACAGCCACCTGGCCCACACAGGTGATTGATAAGGGGGGTTACAGACCAGCAGCTCCAGCTCCCAGCCTGAGAAGGGTACCAGGGAAGGCATGAGTGCAGCCAGATATTAGCAGGATGGTTTGGTGGGGGGTGTGAAATGCTTCACAGCTTTACTGTAAACTAGAGGAGATGCAGCCTGAGAGCCTAGGGGGATTCCTTTGGAGATCATGTGTTGGCTTCATGCCGATATCAGCACTAACTCATGTCCCTGCTGCGCAGTGCTCAGAGACCCACTGTCTGGGGAAGTTTTGGCACATCCTCACATCAAATCTCTCTGCAGCGACGCACCTCCCCTTGCCAGGACAGATGCATGAGTTATGTTTCCTTAGGTGGCAAAGCTAATGCAGGGAGCTTCTTCCAGTGGTGGCTGGCCCCACATCCTCCTCCATGCCTGCAGGGCCATACTGCACAGCTGTTCATGGGACTGCACAAGGCACAGGATCAGGGAATAACTCAGGGCAGCTGAGTCGGGTCCCCAGGCCATAGAACAGGACAGACTAGCCACTGTAGGGCCTGAGATGCTAGGCAAGCTCGGGGTCTCCCAGATGCTTGCAGAAAGCCAACTTCTACAGGAGTAGGAGAGCAGAGGCATCCTGTGGGTAGTGGGAGGGCTGTGCACAGAGCTGCAGCACCATGATGTTCCCCACTACTGGCAGGCAGCGCAATTACAGCTGTGGGCTGGAACCTGCCAGGCTCTTGTGGGAAGCTCTCTAAGTGGCCCTTTGCTCAGCTGCACTGTGGAAAGCAGCAAACCCAGGATACTGAGCTTTGGAGGAGCTGGAGCTCTCTTCCCCCAGCAAGGATGTGATCCCCAGGAATGAAAGGAGGAGGAAGCAGAAAGAGCCCTGCTGCTTGACTCCCTCCTCCAGCTGGAGAAATAGGTGCAGCTCCCTGCTTTCCGCCCACAGCCCCAGAAGAGATTGTCCCTTGCCTGGGACCTGGGCAGCTCTCAAGCCCTCAGGTATGGGGCACCCAGGGAGGGGCATGCAAGAATCCCAAAACTCAGTAAGCATGATGTCACTGCTTATAAAAGCATTGTGCTCCTTGGGAGCTGCCCTGGATACCAGCACTCAGTGGAGCAGTAGTGTCAAGCTACATGTGTGCTTGCCATGGGCAAGCAGCATGACTCAACAGAGGCAGGAAGTCTCCTCCTCCTCACTAACACAGCTGGCTGCCTTTGGCAGCCTGAGGAGGGGGCACCTGGCCAAGCCATCCCACTGAGGGGGCAGGTCCCTCTTCCCTTGCTTCTTCTGGGAGGTGGGGCAGAGCAGGTCTAGCAGATTTGTAATGCAGTGAGATCCTGGCTCTGAAATCTGGACACCACTGGGAAATGGGAGGGCAAGGGGTGAGCCAGGGTCTGTGGACATCAGGCGTTCCCAGGTGAGAGAGATGAGGTCAGTAAAACTCCCACATAGCATGTCTGTCTCTGAAGAAGATGGAAGGAGGGAGGAGCAGAGAGAGTTTCTGGGTTACTCCTCTCCCCAGTGTTGGCAGCACCAGCTGAGCCGGAGGCTGTGGGTATATTCACCACAGCAGGTATGCTGGGGGAGGGGGGGAAGGGGTCTACTTTCTGCAAGGAGGAGGAGATCGTCCTTGCCGGGCCCTCCCAGGGTGCTTTGGACAGCCTGAGCCCAAGTCTATGAGGCTGTGTCCTCCTAGCCCACCTGCAATGTGGTCCCACTCAGAAGGGATGCCTTGGGGTCTGGCAGCTCCTTTACCTCTGCGCGGGCATGCAGGGCCATGCTGATGGAAAGGCACTGGCAGGACAGTCTGGCTCATGCTTGCCCATGTTCTTCTTTCCTCCTTCACTGTCAGGCCCAGTGGAAAGGATATGAGATTGAAAGAGACTGAATTCTCTTTGCCTGATGCTGCAGCAGGGTCCTTACACAACGACTGATGCTTGTTCTGCATTGTCCTACCCATGAGTCAGGCAGGTGTCCCCCAGCTCTGGCCAGGCCAGACCAGTCCCAGATACACACTGGCACAGTAAAGTAACATTCCTGTTAACTAACGTTATTTTTAGCATCTACAGCTACAAAGGGAGCACAAAGGACTTCTGAACTTC